TGGGCGAGCACACCGCCATCTTCGGCGATTTTTCTTTTTTTTTTCGGCTGTGACAAAACCTATGAAAATTTATATATGTCTATCTTACGTAATAGAGAATCTACAAATAAAGTTTGAAAAAATAATAATTTTTCTCATGCCCCGAAATATAGGAAAAACAAAAGGTGCAAAAAAGAAAAAAAACGAATTAGTGAGTGGGCAAGCAAGTTTTGACACCACCATCTTTGAGGATTTTTCATTTTTCTTCGGCTGGACAGAATGGCTTCGACATTAAGAGGGAGATACCTTACAGTGATAGAAAAAGCAGAGTCAGGGCATCGCCACACCACACTCGAAATGTGAAAAAGACAAAAATGCGGAGGGTGCATCTGGCCATGATCTAGAAAGAAGTTCATTCTCATTTTGCACATTTCGAGAGTGGTGTGGCGATGCCCAACACATGGCCGACAGATGCCCAACACATAGCCGCGCTTAGGCAGCCAAAATATAAATGAAAAAATGATCTCGAAAAATCGAAGTATACAACAATGAAGCACGTTCCATAGCATTAGCTATGGCACCTCCGTCATAGTGAGGAGGAGCTGGCATCCCCGACTACAGTTTCGTCGCCGCCAGTTAGCGACCTCATCAGGGGGCGTTTCGAGATACCTCACGTCACAAAGAACTCACAAAAAGAAAAAATCAGAAGAAAAAAAAAAAAATCTTTAGGTGCTAAAATATCTTTTTGCGGGGTCCGATCCCCTTCAAGTTCGGGTCCCCGTATGGGCCCCATACGGGGACCCGAACGCCCGAACGTTCGGGGGTCAGCTTAGGGGCCTCCTGGCAACCCTGTATATATACATATATATAATTTGAAATTTGAATTTTGAGCTAGACCACACCGACTCAAATAAACAGACCCCTACCCCTCCTCTCCCCCCCCCCCAACAACACACACACACAATTTATACATGTACTCGGAAACTCGTAACTCAGTCTTGAACTACCGTCTTCCCCCGAACATAACGCACCCTAAAAATGAATGTATACAAGCTATATTTCCGGACAGATACCGCCAAAATAAGGGTGCGTTGTGTTCGGGGGAAGACGGTAGCACGTAAGCTCGAGGTCGTCGGTTCGATTCCGTGCACAGTCGGATTCAGGAAAAATAAAGACACAGATGGCACGTAACAAACGCACAAAATTAAGCTGGGATGAATACACGCACGGGCCACTCTCGCTGTGTCTGGACTGAAGATGGGCATGTCCCAAGCCGACTACTATCCACCTGCTTTCCCCTGCCGAGACCTCCCCCATCTCTCTCTCTCTCTCTCTCTCTCTCTCTCTCTCTCTCTCTCTCTCTCTCTCTCTCTCTCTGTGTGTGTGTGTGTGTGTGTGT